TCGCCAAAAAGACTGAAAATGTGTAAAACGACTTCGTCCAATCAACAAATTGTAGAAGCCTATATTAATTTACAGGAAGCAATCAAAAGACGGAGCGAAAGGGACTGTAGCACCACGTTTGGAGAACATATTGCTATCAAACAGAACATATACTCACCACACGAAGAATGTTGTTGAACACTTAATTGGAAACATAATTTTTGAAGCAGTCATGGGAAAATATATATCTTGGGATTTACGTGGCTTCAACAATACATTCTCCGCCAGCTCCATGGGATTCATGGGAACCATCTGGACTTGAAAAAGAATTTTTAAATTTTTCCCTAACTTTATATCCATCCCCAGCAAAGGAACCGCCAATATTGTTCATATTTTGCAAAGCATTATTATAATTACTTTCGGAATTAGAACTGCATTCATCTTCGACGATATCTGCCAATAAAGCTGTACAGTTTGATTTAAGAAAATTGTGCAGATAGCAACGTTATTATACAATATTGAGCGTCTAACAAGGCTCGGTATTATAAAATTCATTGTCGTTGATTAATTGCCATGGTTAACTAACGTCCGATTTTATAATGCTAAATTAAGTTGACAGTCGTTTATTTGCCATGGTTACGCCTATTTCAAATGATGTGATTGGTTGAAATAGGCGTATCCATGGTAAATAATCAAATGTAAACTTAATTGAGACTTATAAAACGGATGCTAAGCTTTATAACACAGGTCCTAAGACTGCATTGAAAATTCTACAGGCATTTGTAATAAGTTTAACTATTTATGTAATAAATACAGAAATAACATTAATAAGCGTTTTTACATGACTTCACTTACCTGAACGTAATTCTGCATAGCCTTTATAACAGATTCACACACTTCTGGAATTATTAAAGATATTGCTTGTTTAGAAACTTTAAAAAGGTATAAAAGGCTGCTGTAGGAGTCTCCGGAAGCCAAAAATCGTAGGGTTATGGTTAAACTTACCCTCGCTTAAAATTCGTTAGGTGGCGTTCGTTGGGCCGGTGTGTACGCGGCTTAACAAAAGTTGAAAACACAACAACTAATAGAATACATGTAAACAGTTTATTTTTATGCTTATTTGGGTAATCAGTAACGTAAATAATTGATTGTTATTTATTTTCTTTTCATAAATGTTGGCTCTGTGTTTGTATGGATTCATGTAAAAATATTGATCATCACTGTCCCTATTGTGATTTTTATTTACGTACATACAAATGTTAAAATCAATAAAACAATTATTATCTTTTAAAATGTTTTTTATTTTCCAAAAAAAATGTGAACCTAAACATACATTTTTATTTACAAAGGACTATCATTTAGAGTTTCATAGAACATAATATCAGTTGAACTAGTTTTAGGTTTTCTTTTCTTCCTTATTTCTTCACTTTTTCTTTCACGTTCATCTTGCTTTTCATGATTTTCTATTAAAGTCTTACAAAAGCAGTCATTTTTTACATAAATTACACCAAATAGTGGGCATGTTTGTGTTAATTATACTGTAATTATACTTAAATATTACCACCTAATTGAATTGACCAACAAACCATCCGTGGATTCCTTCATGTCCGATCCCTTCTTGAGCTCTATACGGTTTTAATCTTCGACCCCTTGGTTTTTTTTTACTATCATTGGGTATTTCCAGCGCCTTCGGGTGTATAATTAAACAAATTATATATAAATAATTTCAAATTCAAATAAGACGTCAGCGACATCCACGATATTACCAAACAACAAAAACGAAGTTTCCCCAAATAAACATATAACCTCAAATCAACTTTGGCGGCAAAGTGCATGACACCACAACACTTCACAAAATTTAATCCTCTCAAATCATAATTTTACAAAACTCTCAGTGTAATTTAAAAGTGTAAACACAAAAATAAATGCCCAGTAACTTCTTTAGTAAAATGCTTTTGTAACCATTGACGTACGTTTTTTTTTTTAATATTATTGTAATAATTCAAATAATGTAACAGCTGGTTTTTTAAAATTAACATAAAAAATGTTTGTATTATATAGATATTCTCGGAAACCGGTAGAGAAATAATAAAAATAAAAATCCATTTAAAGTGTGAAAACGAATTTTATTTACATCAAACATAAAATGGAAAGAAAATCATTAAATAATAATTATACATTAAAAATTAAATTGGTTTTACCTAGTCTCGCTGCTTTTTTTAACGACTAGTCTAATAAAAAAAAAACGCAATTCCTTTTTCTCTTATAGAGGTCTATCACTGCATGAAACTATCACTTTCATCGAAGAAGATGATTTCCTCATTCCTCAGCTGATGTAATAATTTTACCTCCGGAAGATGGAGCTGAAACCGTTGAGGACTCTGGCGATGAAGAAGTTGTGAAGCTCAAGCCGAATTTTAATTCGAAAGACGACATACTCTTATTACGATTTTAGTCAACAAAGCGACGAGCAAAAAAAATTCTGCTAAAATTTATAACTGGGTGGACACACACCTTGTTTCACAAAATATCAACATCTCAAATACATATAAGCATTTAGAATCAGATGAGTTAGAAGATTGTGAAGACACGCCTATATCAATATTTCTCAAGTTATTTCATGAAAACATATTTGATTTTCTATTGACGGAATCAAATCGTTATGCAACGTCCCGAAATCTTTTGTTGGAATACTTTTATAGAGTGGCTATGTGGGTTACCCAAGAAGCAAGATGCTAATGATGTTCTGGGGGAAAGATAAAGATGTTTACAACAAAATGATTTCAAGCTCTGGCTAGAACCTCCCTATAAGAAAGCTCCCTATAAAGAACATCACAGTGTTGATGAAGCCATGGTGCCTTACTTTAAGTGCCATGGATGAAAACAATTCACAAAGGGTAAGCCTATACGTTGGGGATATAAGTTATGGGTTGGTTGCACAAGTAATGGATATATAAATTGGTTCGAACCTTATCAAGGTGTCCTCTTAACGTGCTTAATATGAGTATTACACCAATATATAAGGATTTTGGAAGTAGGTGCTGGAGTTGTACTTAGCTGCTGAAATCAAAAAATCTCGAAGGGGCACTTCTGATTTTAGAACTGACTTAAATAAGAATTTGACAGTGATATCTTGGAACGATATCGTCCTTAGTGTCAAATTCTGCGGGAGTTAATCCTGTTCGCATGGTAAAGAGATACAAAAAATCGGTACAAATTTCACAGCCCTATATGATAAAATTATATAATGACAATATAGATCAGATCAAAACATATCGGCCGACTTTGTTTTCAAAACATGAAAATATTCTTAAAATTCTCTTTACACCAAGCAGGGCTTAATTCCTTAGCCTTAAAATAAAATTCAAAAATTTTTAAGACATTATACCTCTTGTAACATCTATCCTGGGACACACTGTATGTGTATTAACTTTTGTCTTTTGACCAGGTCTTACCAGCCTACGATTCTGAAAAGGAGGAACATCAAAAAAAACGGCACAGAAGGAAGAAGAAAAGCCCATAAAGGTAAAACCTCCACCTCCAATAGTCCTTAGAGAGAAAAGGACAAGTACTCCAAAGTAATGGAAATAGCCAAAGAAAATGGCATAAACATAGTGAAGAACTACAACGCGAAGAAAAGAATTAAGGTATGTATGCGTACAGGAGTGCGTAATTTTTTTACGTACACTTAGGCCCCCCAGTGGGCTCCTTGTGCATACTCCCTTGGAGGCTCTCGTTACAAACCAAGTAATTGCTGCACTGTCGATGAACAATTACTCATTTTCCGGGGCAGATGTCGATTCCGCATGTATATAAAATCCAAACCAGACAAATATGGAATGAAAATAATCACCCTGAATGATGCCCGAACTTCAGATTTGATTCATGCTCCGAGTAAAACAGCAGAGGATTTTTTCCAAGAGGCCACAACACTAGAATAGATCGGTCACATGTGACAACTGGTTTACATCAATACCGTTATTGATGAATATACTGGATCCACCGTACAACGTTATTAAACAAAATTCCATTTAATACTGGTATAAATGAGAGTGTATTGAAAACTTTAGAAGATTTAGTACCTACAATGAAAAAATTTGATACCTATTGTGTTCTACTTTTTGACGAAATGGCTATAGAGCCTAGCCTAGCATATGATGCGAAGACAGATACAATTGATGGGTTTGAAGATTGTGGTGAACAGAAATCTTTAAAATTCGCAAACCATGCTATGGTATTTATATTAAGGGGTATTCATAAAAAATGGAAACAACCTATTGCAAATTTTTTTACTGAGCACGGAATGTCGGTTGCTGATGTTATGCGTAACATCAAAGAGGTGGTTAGAGCTTGTGAAAGAATTGGTCTCCATGTAGTAGCAACCATCTGTGACCAGATGAGCACAAACTCGAAAGCTATAAACCAACTCTGTCTTGATACTCGTGCGGATGCTCTTCGTAAAGGAACTCAGTATAAAGGTGTTGGTTTTTGTGTTGACCAGGATGAAATTATTCTGCTGTTTGACCCTCCACATCTTCTGAAGGGTTTGCGGAACAATCTTTTGAACCATGATATTTTATTGAAATGGAACACCGACACTCCAATCCGAGGATCTTGGAAGGATATAAGAACATTATATGAATTAGATGTTGGAGATTTTGATACCAAAATGTTAAATCATTTAACCGATGCCCACGTTATGCCCGAAAAGATAAAATCCATGAAAGTTAAAATAGCCGCACAAGTTTTATCAAGACGAGTCTCCTCGACTTTGACAGCAATAAATAGATTAGGTATATATATACTATTATTATGTTATTAATAATTATAAAATTCATTTTTTTTATAATCTAATTATTTTATGTTGATTTAATCACTATTTGTGCTATTTTTTAAATTTTAGCACCTGGAAAATTACCATCAACATCGGAAGGAACCTCCAAATTTTTGTTATTCGCCGATATACTTTTTGATTCGGTGAATGGGTCAACAATCAGTGCTGAAAATGGAAAACTGCTGCGGTGTGCTATCACCAATGGGTCACCGCATATTAACCTTCGGGCAGGCGCATGTATCCCTCAGATACACCGTAATTTTCTTTTCATCCGTACTACCGCGTTTGAAGAGCGAGACCACGCCCTTCCTAGATACGTTTTTAGATCCAATGGTCGTATCTAACAGTACGCTAAGTGACTTCGAGGTGGTCACCCGTTTTGAGATATCGATCTTTTGTATCTCATAGATACACGCGACTGTTTATGTAAGTTTTTGTAAATTCTCATTTTTGTAGTTCACTTGGGTTTTTTAACATTTGGAGCTAATTTGTAGTATCTACTTGAAATTTATTATTTTTATTTTATCTTTTTATATGATAAAATACCATATGTATCTAAGAGATACACGCGCCTATTTATGTTATATTTCTGTTTTAATTTTTTAAAAGTATTAATATGGCATACCGAAAGAAGAAATACGATCTAACTAATGAAAAGGATTGTGAGGAGCTGAGAAATCTACTTCTTTTAGAAGAAAGTGAAGGAAGTGATTATGAAAGAGATGAAATAGAGCACGAGGAAAGCGATACCGATGCATCTGTTTCTGCTGAAGAAAGAGGAGAAGATTCGGAAACAGATCAAAGTGATGTCAGTGAGACTGAAGAAGATGAAGATGAAGGTGATGAATCACATTTTGTTGCCGTTCAAAAGAAGAACAAAAAAATCGTTAATGAATGGAAATGGAAAAAAACTCCTATGTCACAAAGAAAACGAGCTCCCCGTCAGAACATTATTATTCATTTACCCGGAGTAATAGGTGAAGCCAGAAAACCTGGTGGAATTTATGAAACATGGAATTTATTAATAAATGATAATATACTGCAAAAAATTACTCAATATACCAATCAGTATATTGTATTAATTCAAACCAAATTCGCCAGACTTAGAGATGCTCAAAAGACAGATATTACTGAAATTAAAGCATTTATTGGTTTAGTCTATTTAGCTGGGGTCTATCACGCAAATCGGTTAAATTTAAAAGAGCTATGGTCGACTGAAGGGATTGAAAGATTTAGAAGGACAATGAGTCTGAAACGATTTCATTTTATAATGCGTTCCATAAGATTTGATGACAGGGAAACTAGAGAAGAAAGAAAGCATGTTGACCGTTTAGCACCAATAAGAGGTATATTTGAAGAATTTGTAAAGAACTGCAAAAAATCATACTCTTTAAGCGAAAACATCACGATCGATGAAAAATTAGAGGCGTTTAGGGGACGATGTCAGTTTCGTCAATATATTCCGTCTAAGCCATCAAAGTATGGAATTAAAATATTTGCGCTTGTAGATTCGAAACTTTTTTACACGTATAACATGGAAATATACGCTGGACAACAGCCAGACGGACCTTATAAACTAAGTAACAAACCAGTTGATGTGGTCAAAAGACTTGTCGTTCCTATCCATAATTCTGGACGTAACGTTACAATTGACAACTGGTTCACCAGTTATGATTTAGTGGACTACCTTACACAGAAAAGGCTGTCTATTGTTGGCACATTAAAAAAAAACAAACCCCAAATACCTTTCGAATTCAAAAAAATCAAAGATCGTGCTGTTGCCTCTAGTATTTTCGGTTTTCAGAAAGATTGTACCTTAGTGTCCTACGTCCCAAAACAAAATAAAAATGTAATTTTATTATCCAGTATGCATTTTGGCAACACAATAGATAAAAACACTGGTAAGAAACAAAAGCCAGAAATCATAACATATTATAACGCAACGAAAGGTGGAGTAGACACTGTGGACAAAATGTGCGCAAGCTATAATGTGGCGAGAAATACAAAACGTTGGCCAATGGTTACATTTTATTCAATGTTAAACGTGTGTGGTATTAACTCACAAATAATTTTCCTTGGTAATAATAATAAAGTAAGTAGCAGAAGGTCATAATTACGTCAACTAGCTGTAGAACTAACTGAACCACATATCCAAAGGCGCGGAACGAGACATACACAGCCATTGGAGGATTTCGAAAATGATCAAGACCAGACTGAAAACGTTAATGCAGATCCAAAAAATGAAGATGTACTTCAAAACACGGAGCACCAAGAACACCAAGCTAGAAAAAGGAAAAGATGTACTACTTGCTATTCTCGAACCAGGGTAATTCTCACAAAACGTTAAATTTTATTGTCATTGATCAATATAAATTAAATAAAAGATATTATCATAAAAACAGAATTGTCACAATTTACTACACACCAATGACTATTAAGTCCATTTGANTAGTGGACTACCTTACACAGAAAAGGCTGTCTATTGTTGGCACATTAAAAAAAAACAAACCCCAAATACCTTTCGAATTCAAAAAAATCAAAGATCATGCTGTTGCCTCTAGTATTTTCGGTTTTCAGAAAGATTGTACCTTAGTGTCCTACGTCCCAAAACAAAATAAAAATGTAATTTTATTATCCAGTATGCATTTTGGCAACACAATAGATGAAAACACTGGTGAGAAACAAAAGCCAGAAATCATAACATATTATAACGCAACGAAAGGTGGAGTAGACACTGTGGACAAAATGTGCGCAAGCTATAATGTGGCGAGAAATACAAAACGTTGGCCAATGGTTATATTTTATTCAATGTTAAACGTGTGTGGTATTAACTCACAAATAATTTTCCTTGGAAATAATAATAAAGTAAGTAGCAGAAGGTCATATTTACGTCAACTAGCTGTAGAACTAACTGAACCACATATCCAAAGGCGAGGAACGAGACATACACAGCCATTGGAGGATTTCGAAAATGATCAAGACCAGAATGAAAACGTTAATGCAGATCCAGAAAATGAAGATGTACTTCAAAACACGGAGCACCAAGAACACCAATCTAGAAAAAGGAAAAGATGTACTACTTGCTATTCTCGAACCAAACGTACCCGTCTTTCAAAATATTTTTGCATTTATGCCTTGATCATTGTTTAGTCGTTTGCGCGGATTGTATTCCTAAATAATTATATTTCAGTCAAAAGTATGCAAGACATTAAAATACATTTAAAATAATACATTTTTATTGCTTGTTGGTTTTCCTAGAGATTTTCCTTTCTTTATTTGATATTAAAATAGAAAAATATATTTTGTATGTATTAATACATAAAATGTATTGCAAATAAACGGTTTTGAAGTATTAGTTTATTATTAACATTAAAATATAGCAGTGTATCTAGGAGATACATGCGCGCCTTTTCGTGTACCTTTATCGGGCGCGCCTTCCGGAAGGTTAAACCAGTTATTTTTAGAAATCTTTTTATTCTATTTTACAATCGACCTTAACTCGATTACGGATTCACAGGTGTATTCGTTCGCGTTATTTTATCATCGCCATAATAAAAATCATAAAAGAGTTTGAATTAAGTAGATTTCTTTTCATTCTTTTTATGGTTACCATAAAATCCACAACCACATCCGTTTTATTAATCTGATGAAAACGAAAGTAGTCAACAAGATCAACTGGTTATTTTGTATAATATGTTAGTTTGCTTTCACCTTGAATAACAGTTTATCATAGATTATTTTTCTATGTTTATCGCATCGGTCACACTCGTGTGGGTAACATATGTCACTTCTTGGTAAAAAATATACATATAATAGATACAGATACTTTAGATTTATTGAGCTTTAAAAAAAGTTAACACATCATTGGCGACGATTTTAAAGAAAAAACGATTACATTATCATCAGCTTACGTAAGCATCTACATGATGATAATGATCCACGAAGAAAATGTCAAGGTTTTAATAATTAAATAAATTCACTTAAATTTTTCGACGAAATTTTATAAATTTAAACGTAATAAGTATGTGGTATTGGTTTGTATCATCTTTACGTATACCCACAATAAATATTGACTTTTAGACNTTTTCGTGTACCTTTATCGGGCGCGCCTTCCGGAAGGTTAATTTTTGGAATGAGGCGTTGGATGTATTAAGGGGCATGAAGTTTCTATCAGGTAATGGAACAGAATTTGTACCACCAACTGTGAAAAATTGGATTAAAACTCTTAAAGGGTTTAAGGCGTTGTGGAATAAACTACAAGGTCTTGGTTTTAAATTTCTTTTGCCCAGAAATTTAAACCAAGATGGCTTTTAAAAATACCTATAAAATTTTGTTGGTGAATAACTTTGCCTCATCACATTCGCCGGGAGCCAATTGCGAAGAAGATGATAACCGGCCGGCTTTTGAAAAAGTAAAATCATTTGCTTCTTCTGTATTATCGTCAAATTCTACAACATCCTTTGAAGAACATGAAGACATGAATGAAGATGAAGGTGAAGATACACCGAAGATGTAGTCAACCAAAGCGAAATTGCTGCGAATACACACGCATAAATTTCTGGCTACATTGCTCGAAAAATATTACAAAGATTGAAATGTAACACATGCCGTAGTGATTTTATTTGACAAAGAAGTAGTCATGGAATACTTATAGAGGAGCGTGCCTATACCCCACAGGCGCTGTTGCAGCCAAGCGATAAGCTACAGGTGTTATTTTCAGAAGGCACCACAATAATACATAACAAGCTACCGAAAATAGCTAACTAGCGTTCTATTAAAAAGAAATTAATTTTTAATTTACCAAAAATGGAAAATCCGAAATTTAATTGTACGGAACACAATTTATTTAAAATTTTTTGTAATGTGTTTGTTAAATTTTATATACATATGTGGGTGAAAAACATAAACGCTATCTTGAAAGGTTATGACAAGAGAAATGTTAAATTAAAGCTTTAAAGAAGTGCGACAAGCTTCGTGCAAAAAAACGAAAAATTGTTGAAGTTAAACAATTACAAATTTAACGTTTTTTATTTATGTTATTTTTAATTACCTACTTAATTTTATTTTCTTTTTTGTAATTTTTATTTCATCATTTTGTTTCTTAATTCAGTTTATTTTATTTTTTTGTTTCTATTTTAATATATTTTTTAACTTAAAATTGTTTTTGACTTAACAAGATTTCGTTTTAAAATTGTGTATGTTGAAATTTTGCAGAAACAAATTCTCTATAAACAAAATTAACAATTATTGCTTATAGTGAATTTGTTTCTGTAAAATTTTATCATGCATGATTTTAAAACAAAAACAAAAAACCTAATTCTAAAGATTTTTAAAATTCCCGCGCTACTAGCGCTAAATGAGGGTAGTCTGAACCAAAAACAGCGTTTCAATAGCTTTGTTCGTTGGGACTGCACTACTTGCACAGATGTTGTGTGTTCGTTGGGGATAGTGCAGTTTAGTGCAGTTGCATTCATACTGTTCGTTGGGCCAGGTGCAGTGCAATTTAGTGCAGCCGGTGCAAGTTAGTGCAGATTTTGTTGCACCTGCTTTCGATTAAGTTCAATAAGTGCAGTGTAACTAAAATGGCGGAATATTTGAAAACGTGTTTTGTAATAATTAATATTAATATAAATATTAAGAAATAAAACCTTATAATAATTAATATTTGTTGTATTAGAGAACACAGTACATTCAATACCAGTAGAGGCAGTAGAAAACTACCCCTACTTTTTTGGAATAATTTAAAAACTACCCTGTCGATTTTGGCAGCATTAAATACACTTATAGTACGTTTAAAAATATTAATTACATTTTTTCTCATTTAGGGGTGGCTGGGGTTAACTACCCTCACCACACCAAAAATTTTTTTTGCAATTACTGCTTATAGATTTTGGTGTAATTTAGCATGTGATTTCTTTATACGTTAAGTAGTACTTTTGAAAGAACTAATAAGGGTTAGTAGTTTGGTGTAGAAAATATATTTCGCTAATAATTTTCATACTCCTGCCTCCTACACAAAAATCCCCATCCACCCCTAAATGTCGTATACACATTTCCGACACTTCCCTTGTCAATGTAACATAAAATGGCAGAACATTTAGAAGCGTATTTTGTGATAAATGAAGAAGGAGAAAAAATAATCGAAAAGAATTGATTGAAAGATTGAATTTGATTTTTGTAGGTAAGTAGCCATATATTATTATTAATACAGTCAGAAATAAAACCTTATATTAATTATATTATTATATTAATTAATTAATATTTGTTGTACTAGAGAACACAGTACATTCAATACCAGTCGATGCAGTTGAAAAAGGCTAAGAATTTTATAGCTTTGAAGATGGGCGGACAGTACGCTTAAGAACTAGTGATGAGGAAAATAAAGAAAAAATGGATTGGGATGATGCAAAAACAAAATTATTACTGCATTTATATAAAGAAAAAAAGAAAGTTTAGTTGAAGAACGGAAAATAAAAACATTAAAGAAAATGTGGAATTTAATAAGCGATAGAATGAAGGGGTATGGGTACATTGCATCTCCTCTCCAAATAGAGAATAAATGGAAGAGTCTAGAAAGAGGTTATAAAAACAAAATTTTAATATCAAAGAAAACTGGAAGAGGAAGAAGATCCTGCCCATACGAAACGGAATTAGAAGATATTTTATCAAAGCGGCACTCGATACAACCCATTTGTACATTACATGGGGACAATGGGGAATGTCGTTGATATTAAAGGAAAAAAGCGAAAACAAGATTGTACAATAGAAGAATGCCTTGAAGATGAACAAATTGCAGGACCTTCAAACGTTTCGGTTCCTGAAGCCGAAAGATGCTTTTCACCAACAATACAAGTACCTTCAATCAATTTAACCGAACAAGTGGTGATACAAGAAAAAACAGAACATCAGAACATCATTTCTGTTCCATCCCAGAAAAGAAATCGGGATCGCACCACGACTAGTGAATTAAGCAAAATAAGACAATTGCAAGAAGAAATGTTTAAATTTAAAAAGCAAAATGAAGAAAGAAAATTTAAACAAAGGCAGGAGTTCATTAATGAATTGAAAACTCGTAATGAACTATTAACACAACTATTAAATAAAAAACAATGAGATTGAATTTTTTATCTATTCATAAATAAATAATTACAAATTTCGTTTCTTAACACTGTTCCTCTATTTCTGTTCTCTTTTTCGTCCTGCGTTGCTGGTTGCACATCATCCACTGAATCATGTTGTAGAACATTTGTGTTTTCTTCATCGGCCAAATTGTGTAAAACACAACATGCACGAATGAAATGACAAATTCTTTCTGGGCCACGAAGCTTCAGGTGATACAACTGCCGGCATCTTTGTTTCAACAATCCGAACGTGTGTTCAATAGATACACGGCATTGGCTGTGTTTTCTATTGAAGTGTTTCTGTGCCGATGTTAGATGTCCATTATCTTTATATGGCACCATTACACGTTCTGATAATGGATATGCACTATCTCCTAATATATAGCTATCTATAAAACAAACAGTAGTTGTAAATAAGTAAATATACATGTACTACTGACTGTTAAATAATCTAAATAATTGCCTTCATCATCACTATATAAAAAATTATACAATGAAGAGTTTTGGAAGACACGTGCATCATGAACAGATCCTGGATATCCAATAAATATGTCTATACATTTTTTTTTTTCATTGCATGTTCCTTGCAATATAATAGAAAAATAATCTTTTCTGTTGCAATAATCGGTCTTTTGGCCTATCAATTTTAATATGTGTTCCATCTATTGCACCTGTAATAAGAATAAAAATCAATTTTTTTAAAAACATGTTTCTTTTAAAATAAGGAATAACATTCTGAATTGTAACAATATCTATACTTAATTTACAAACCATACAAATAATGGTGAAAACTGACCTATCACACTAGGGAATCCTGAAATTCTTTTATAATACTCCTTGGTATGTTTTTTTTCTTCTTTAGAAGGCCATTTTATAACATGACATGCCATATTACTTAGCCAAAGAGATACTCTTGTTATGATATCATGCAAACTACTTATTGATAGATCGAATCTATCAGCCACATCCCGGAATGACACAGTTTGATGGCCACAAAACCATAAAAAAGCTAAAAAATGCTTTTCCGCCGAAATGTTTCTGTGACCTATCACATGTTTTATTTAGTTCAATACTAAAAAGAATCAACTGTTTAATACCATTACCTGCGCTTAATATTGTTTGATAAATTTCACTAACAGTAAATTTATCAATCAAAGCATAGCATAAAGCTTTGCTTATTCTAAAATGTGAAAAAAATTCAACTTCTGTGTAACTAGGAACTATCTAAAATCAATTATTATGAATATCACCATGTCCAAATTATTTTATTTTTACCTCAGTGCAATAATTTCTTATGGTTGTCCTCACGTGCTTGACAACGCTATAAGAACATTTATTAAGTAATTCTACATCACCATCAGATGAATCGCTACTAAAAAAACATTCTGCGACGAATTCACTTTCCGCGAGAATTTCGCTAACAATCTCCTGTTCGTCCATTTCAAATATTATACACTTTTTTTTATAAAAATCTGTTCGTTGCGACCACGGTTTATACACTTTTCTGACCTGCACTAAGTTGACATGACATTGCACTTACTTACACTTCATTGCACTATGACGTCATTCGAGTGCCATGTCGTGCAGAGTAGTCTGGTGCAGTCTGGTGCAGTCCCAACGAACAAAGCTAATATATAGTTTATAATAAAATAAATTTCATTTGCGTTATCTTGCGGTAACTAACATTTTTTTGTCTTTTTCATTAGGTACAAGTAAATCTCAGAATATAATAACGTACAGAAATTTGTTTGAAGTTTTAAGAAGTAAACATCAATTCTTAACAAATTTCAGTAATGAATCGCTCCGTCTTACCCAAACATCACCTGACAGACCTAAAAAAATTAGAGATGTATACCGAAAATCACAAGAAAATAAGAAAGTAGTACCATATACTGACGACGAAGCTCGCGCATATATCCTAGATTGTCGCCTAACTAAGAATTCTTATATGAAAACAAGGTTAGGGGCAAAAGCACGAGGTGCAAATATTTATCCTTATCACCGTGTACAAGAAAGTAAATTGCGATGTTACCCGGATGATATAACTGTAAGCGAAGCTGGTGCAATTATTCCTTTGCAGAGCTTATTAAACCATACAACAATGCGGTTATTCTCAATAATAAAAATATCTCAGAACATACTACTTGAAAAAATATTAAGTCTGGAGTTTATTTATAAATGGGGTTGTGATGGTAGCTCTGGCCATACTGAATTTCATCAAAGATTTGCCTCGATAGAAAGCGATAACTTAGAAAAAGTAGAAAGCGGTGAGAAGGATGAATTCCTTCCCCCGAATGTGTGAATTCGACTCGAAGTCGAGCGAATCCGAGAAGAGCCGAATCGGTTGAGCGGGGAAGCGACATTCGACACTCTGCAGCCGACTGGCGTTAAGAACGCATCTTGATTTCTGTTCATTGATAGTTAAATTAAAATTAATAAACTCATTTAAAAAGTTTAAGACCTTCATTAATTTTAAATTGCTTAAAATATAAAAAAAAGTGACATTCGCGAAGAAAACTTACAATATGGTCTATCCTCTCTTCACGCATGGATCAAATTCCTGGAGTGCTGTTTACATATAGCATATCGCATAAATGTGGCTCAAACAACACGCAGATTAACAGCCGAGCAAAAACTTTTAATTAATGAAAGGAAAAAACTGCTGCAAACACGCTTATGGGAAGAAATAGGGATTAAAGTTGACCGTGTTGTACAAGGCAAAGGTACATCAAACACAGGAAATGTCTGAAATCACTGGTGTGGACCCACATTTAATGCAAAGATTTCATTCTATATTAGCAGGAATTTTCATCATTCTACAAACGACGGGGCATCAGTTAATTTATCTATGTGCAAGAATATGAAAGCAAATTTTAATTTCTCTTCAAACAGTTTAAACCATGGATCCAGCATCCTATCACAAAAAAGAATATTTATATTTTTTTGGTGTTTGGCATATCGTCGGCCTAATTTTAAAACCTCGTAAGTCAAAAAATTCTGGAATTGAGATTATTGTTTATTTCGTCTTCATAATTGAATACAAACCGTATTTTTAAACCTCGTACATCAGGCTTGCACCCGGCGACATTTATTGGCAGTTTTTAAAAAGTCGTATGTCTACAATGTGGTCGGTTAGTATTAAATCCTCGTATGTCATTATTTTACAATGACGGATGAATGTGTTTCACAGTGCTCCACAAATATCTTGCAAATAAGGTAAGAGACTGTACTTCTTTAAACTTTTTCTAATGTTAATTATAGAGATAAGATAGTAGGCTTCCTAATCTGATAGTAATTTGCTGGCGTATCAAATGTGTTAAAACAAATTTCATCTAAATTTATTTTGTCAAGAGTTACGAGTTTTTAAAATTAAACAAAAAATAATGAACGCATTGCATTTCTAGAGTTACGAGTATTTAAGTCAACATTTTATAACCTTATTAAAACCCCAAGTAGGAGTAAGTACAACAACCATCAAATAACTAGCACTTCTGGAATTTAGGATTTGTTTGAGCAGCAGCTGGAAATTATCAATACAATATATATTAATCATTAGAATTTACATGCGCCAAATTCGAACACACTGGGTGGGTTCTGACTAATTTCTCACAGTTTCCAAAAAATGCTGCTCGAAGAAACCTAAAGCGACACAGCTTGTTTAATATACGAATTCCTACCGGTTGATTTAGTTTTTTTTTGCAGAGCAATGTCTTCGCGTACTGCAAAAATAATGGAAATGGCTACAAGCAATAATATGCCTACTGATAATACAAAACCGGTTACGTGTCTATCTATGCCGAAAATTATAAACAGCATTATCCTAGAAATTAATGGGGATGTTTGTGACGATACATTAATTCAGTATGCAATGAATGTGGAGGGTCAGCTTCATCATGAATGTCTAGAAGCAAATCTTGAAATGGCTAATTTGAACAATAGCGACAGTAACGACCCGAATGCCAATATTAGGAAGGGTGACAATAATTTTTTTCAAAATACTCATGTCTCTAATGAAGCCAATATTGATGTAACTGAGAACGAGAATGAATTACAAGTAGAAAAGAATTATGAAGATATACCAACACCAGATGATATTGATGATCCAGACTGGATGGAGACTAAAAAATCTGAATTTACGGCAACAAATGGTAATGACAGCAATTCAGAAGATACGAAAATCGAAGATGACGTTGTGTCCACTACAGAAAACTCTGAAAATGGGTATGCGATAAATACTGGAGCTGAAAACATTACAAGGAGGACTAGAAAGAAAAGAAGGCACGTGAACACAGAAGAATGGGACATTAACCAGCAAAAAATAAAACGTAGCAAGGGAGTGGAATATAAAGGACTAATTAAGGAGAATGGAAAATGGAGTTTTAACAGAATCAGAAATGCGAGATGTCTAAAACCAAATTGTATGTGTGCCCAGAGTAGAAAAAAATCCAAATTACAGTGTAACCTATTAAATGAAAAAGACAGACTGGCGATATTTAAAAACTTTTGGTCCAAGTCATGGCCGGAAAAAAAAACAGTGTGTTCGAAGCTTAGTAGATTTAAAACCAGTTAAACAAAGAAGAACAGAATCAAAAGTGTCTCGTAGAAAGAACTCTCTTTACTTCTTTTAAAAACGCCTGGAGGTGCTAGAAATCGAGTTTGCAAGAAACAGTTTTTAAACACGCTTTGCATTGGAGAATGGTCTGTTTTAAACTGCATTAAAAGTAGCAAGGCCAATTCTGATGAAGCAGAAACATCCATTGAGATAGAAAATAGTCAGATAGAAAATGAAGTTGCAAACACGGATAGCATAGCAGTACAACCTACAAGTAACGAACACGAAGAAAAGAAAACACGTTCGAATGGGAACCACGTAAAGCCAGCTGAAATGGAATTTTTGAAAAATTTTTTATGCAGCCTTCTAAATTTAGAATCACATTACTGTCGATCAACATCGAGTAAAAAATATTTGGAACCTATCTGGAGGTCTAAAAATCAGCTTTACGTTTTTTACAAGAAAGAATGTGAAAAAAGAGGGATAGGGATAGAGGGACTGTCTGATGCTTCGTTTAGTCATATCTTCTCAGATCTAAACTACAGTATATTTCATCCAAAAAAAGACCAGTGCGACGTTTGTCTTGCATTTAAAACTGGCAATATCGATGACGTAGTTTATCATACACACTTGAAGAAAAAGAAGCTGCCAGAGAACAAACATGCAGAGATAAAGAAGAAAAGAAATGGGTTTTTACAATGGATCTTATGTCTGTACTTATGGCACCGTTGACCAATGCATCAGCAATGTATTATAAAAGTAAACTTGTGGTGCATAATTTCACCATTTTCAATTTAAAAAACCGCGATGGTTACTGTTATGTGTGGCATGAAGGGCAAGGCGGTTTAACTGCTAACGAGTTTGCTTCCATACTACATTCTTTTATATTAAATCTTAAAACTGATAAAGGAGATGAAGTGGTAATTTACAGTGACGGCTGCACTTACCAAAATCGCAATGTAGTAGTAACACACTTGTGTTCTGCAGTATGATCAAGAATGTTACAATTATTCAAAAGTATTTAGAAAAGGGACATACTCAGATGGAGTGTGATTCCATGCATTCAGTTATTGAACGAAAACTTCGCAATACGGATATCTACACTCCAGCTGGGTATGTTTCTGTTTTTAAATCTGCAAGGTGCAAGCCTAAGCCCTATGAAGTAACTTACCTTTCTTTTGATTTTTTTAAAAAAATGTCTGTCCTAACTTTTTTTTCATCTATACGTCCCGGTTTTAAAAAAGGCGACCCCGTGATTACAGATATTTGTTGCCTTAAATATAACCCCTCTGGAATTATCGAATACAAACTTAATCTGCTTCTTGACCCACCGTCACATTTATACGACAGTCTAATTGTGTCTAAAGGCCCAGTGTCGTATTAACATGTTTATAAATACGTGGTATTGGAACCACTGCCGCATATATACCGAAAAATCCCGAAACATCGCGAAGCCTCTAGACGATTGGTTTTAGCAAAACGCCGTTCAGTCGCAGTTATTTCCGTTACGAACAACTAACGACGTGAGACACGTTGCAAAAGTACAAGTAAAATGGCGTCAAGTCATCAAGGTCCGCCGCGAAAAAGAAAACGTGTTAAGTGTAATGTTGGTGTATGCGGCCTCACGGATGATGATATAAATAATATTTTGGATAGTTTAGATTCCGATGAAGATCCTTACGTTGATAGTGGAAGTGAGTATCAACCTGAATCAACAGATAGTGAAGCAAGTGGTGAAGATGATGAGAATGACGATTTTTTGTGCCCCGAAAATGAAAGTCTTAGTGAAACAGAGAATGAAATAAATGAGAAGGAGAGCAATAAAAAAAAACGAAAGTGAAGCAATGAAAAAGGTAAGATATGCTTTGGATGAGAATTTTTCTATAGAGTGGAGAAAGCGCCAATTTATGCCTGTAATACATAACTTTGGTGGCGCAGACTCTGGTGCACGATTA